GAGCAGGAAGCTAGTGCCGGTCAAGCTGGGGTGCTGGGTGGTGGATTGGAATGAGCTGGATCTTTTGAACGGTGGAGCTGGGGAGACCGGTGAGGAGTACTTTGGAGTTATCCAAGCGGGAGGTGACAAACGCATGCATGAGGGTTTCAGCTATATTTGGGGTAAGGTACAGTCGGAGGCGGGCAATGTAGCGGAGGTGAAAAAGGCCATCCTGGTCAGGGACTGGATGTGGGGGAGGAAGGAACAGCTAGGGGTCGAACTGGAGGCCTAGATTGCACATAGGAAGGTCACTGTGCAGTGCCACATGGTGAAGAATAGATTTGTTTCCGTGGCTTCTTCCCCACCATAGCAGCAACCAGGACAATAAGAAGAAGAATCCCTCCATTTGATGTAGTGCAATACAACTACACAATTATTATATTGTGAAGACCTCTTAAAGCACAGTGGGATATTCAGAAAACCTGTGCACTCACCAAGCAATATAGTCTCTAACTGTTGTCACTATTTATCTGTATTTTGTGGTTATTTTGTGTAAAACTGTGTTGAATCTTAGATTGCAGAAATTCATAATGTACATGTTGGAGTGGAAAAAAAAATTATGTCACATTACATAGAAGAGTTGGAAGAGAGGATGAGGACAGGATTATAGGACTTTGTGGAGATTGGACGAACAAGATCATGAAAAATTGTGAAGGTCAGGATGAGGATGTTAAAGTCAATTGACTGGGTTACTGGGAGCCGGTGGAGCCTGGCTTCTGAGTAATTAAATAATTGGTTGATAAGAAATGCAACAATGTTGAACTGGAATGAATTGCTAGCAGTTTTCCTCACTCCAGTAGTTAGCCATGATTCTGAGATTTTCATGTGAAGAAACACATGAGCCAATTTTGAGTACAATGAGGACATGTTTAAATGAAGAATTAATTATATTTTTCTCTCTCCATGTGGGTTGCCAGCTGCAACGCTGCTGAGAGGTTAAAATTCATATTACAGATGTTTTCACAGTTGAACCAACACTGTAGTTAGTAGTTGATTATATCTTCTCTCTTGCCTTCCACCCACCCTCTGCCCCCTCAGCCACAGGAGAAAAGTTGTCTATCGTGGAATTATGAAGGGCTTCAATCTAACAGGCCAGTTGAGTATTAAATGATCACTGCGGCCTCGCTCCAATCTAGTCCCACTTTCAACTGTTCCATTGCAAATTTGTTTTGGAGAAATCCAGTTTCCTTATTACATATATTAATAAGTAATGTACTTGCACCGCCTTGGTACGTCCTCCTGATGCGAAAAGCCCTGGCAATCTCTCCGACAAAAGGCTGTGGATGCTGGATCCATTCATCCAGGATCCACAGCCGGATGAGGGAGATGGTTATTTGTTAAGTCAGGGTATTAAGGGATACAAGGCAAGGGTGGATAATTGGACTTGAGGTACAGATTAGCCATGATCTTATAGAATGGCAGAACAGGCTTGCGGGGCTGAATGACCTACTCCTGTTTCTATGTTTCTTCATATCAATACAATTTGTTGTCGTTGAATGCACTTGTTATAGTGACTTATATCGTCGTGGTATTTCATATTAAATTTTATTGTGACCATGAATTTATGGGCAAACTTGCCATCCAATTTGCACACAACAGTGTCCCATAAATGGTCATGAGTGAATGAATTCCCAATTTTATCTGGGGGATGTTGGCCAGAACATTGGGAAAAACTCTATTTTGAATTGTGTCATTGGATCTTTACCATCCACCTGAACAGGCAGACAGGGCATGGGTTTAATGTCTCATCCAACGGACAGCATCCCCAACAATGCAGGATACACACAGCAGTGCAGTGTACCCCTGCACTACTCTGGTGTGTCATCCTAGACTGTGAGTTCAAAGTCTCGATATGGAACTCGAAACCACACTATTCTGATTCGGATGCGAGAGTGCTACCAACTTTCTGGCTGACATCTGATTAGAAAATAATCATGTAGTGTACTAGTTCATTAATCCACTCTTGAGGTGCTAGACACCAGGTTTGGTGCTCAACAGTAGATGTACTGTATTCAGATTGGTTGGAGAATTGGTGCTTTATTTTAAACTAGGGGAGCGCCCACTGGTGTTGAGATTTACTGTCAGAACATTCCAGGTAAACAACACAATTTAGGATTTTAATCTTGTTCTCTACAAATCCGTTTATGCTGCTTTTCCAGTTTTCTTTGCATTGCCTCTCGTTGTTGCTTATTTGATCATCCAGAATTCAGCAGTCCGTGCCCTCTCCTGCACTAGGCTCCGTGACTCTATCACTCCCATCCTTGCCCAACTCCACTTGCTTCCCATCACACAGAGGATATAGTTCAATCCTGGTCCTTACCTTCAAAGCCCTCCACAGTCTTGCTCCCCCCTAGCTTTCCGACCTCCTAACCCCCTACCACCCTGTTCACTCCCTCCGCTCGGCGGGCTCCGGCCTGCTTCACGTCCCCCTCCTCACTCGCCCCTCTATTGGCGGGCAGGCTTTCCGCCACTCTGCCCCCACCTTCTGGAACTCCATTGCGCAGTCCCTCCGTCTCGCCCCCTCCTTTGCCTCCTTCAAGACCCACCTCAAGACCCTCCTCTTCGATTGTGCTTTCGATCTCCCTGCTTCTCCCCCTGCCCTCCAGCTTCCCCCACCCCGACCCCCAGCTTGGGTCCATAACTCTGTCCAGTGCATTGGGACGTCCTCCCGATGTGAAAGACGCCTTACAAATGTAATTTTGTTGTTGTTATTTTTGCCTTGTCAGTGAAATGCAGATTATTAGAGTACTGGACAACCCATTATTATAATGCCCCACTCAGCCCCCCCCCCCTCCCCCACCTATCTAATGTGTTCTTGCCTATGCTGATGGTATCCTATGGACTCTTGCTAAAAGGAAGCACATTACAGTCGGCTACTGAAAGTCACTAGCTAGCTTCCTGCACTCTTTTTAAAAAGACAACTTGCAAATTTTCCAATCACAGGTAATAATCATTTATATTTGGTACAGAGGCTTTTGTGTCGGGATGACATATCAAAGTGCTTCATATTGTAAAGTGGGCAAACATACTACTGTCACTTGCTGCACGTGCGCAGGAAGCCTCACTGATTTCATTTCCTTTGCCAAATGATGTCAGCAGCATATCTTGCAAGTAGTGTGTATGTGCCCACCGCACAGCAAGTGATGTCAGCAATTATTGGAGCGTATAGAGGCTGGCGGGTGGGGTGGGGGCAAGTGTAATTTTAGTTGAGCATACTGTGCATGTTGAGCATATTGTGGGAGATAGTGTGGAATTTTGTGTGAACTGAGGTTTATGGAGAAAAGAGCTAAGAAGACTGGTGAGGAAAATCTAGTCAATCATTTATGATCTGCTTATGATGTGATTACATACATACACTGTTGTTTGTTGCCAAGTAATGATACAATGGTCTCAGGGCTGCAGCCATTAGAAGTCTCAAAGTAAAGTTAGATCTTTATCCGCTGCTCGGTAGGCAAACTCAGCTGCTCAATCATATCACTTCAGGGCTTGATGAAGAACCACCATGATAGAGATCTGAGAGCAGTTTGTATAGCTGCCCTCATGTATAGAATGTCGTATGTCCTTGTGAGACCTGAGGTAAATGAAACCCATCCACAAAACAAAATTACTTTCTTGGAAACCATGATAAACCTGTCTCACATCTCAACCCACCAGATTCAGTGAATACAACTGAGCATAATTTAAGGTGTTTAAGATTTCTAATCATTGGAACTAATTTATTCTAAAAGTTTAGAACTATGTCTTGAGGGTTTAATCTTAAATGCATTCCATTGCTAAGCAGGTTCAAAAGCAGCAACAAGTTTACTGTACTTTGAAAGGTTTTAATGAAAGCACAATTTACATATTTTTAAATCAAAACACATGATGTGGTTGGAAAAATAGTGAAGAAAAGTTCCAAATAATGGGGCCATTGGGCATGCATGTTCAGTCAGTAAATAGATCTGCTGCTTACCCATGGCCAGTCTTTTATAGTATGAATTTGCCTGTACCCTGCCATCTGGGTTATTTCTCCTGTCCACTGATCAAGCATATCTGTATTTAATTAGCTTTCACTAACCATCGTTTAATACTAGAGACAGAATACTTTTGTTCTTTGCACATGTTTAACTTGACCCTGTTTAAGTCAAGCAGGTCAAAATGAGTTTTGAAGATTACCAGCTCAAAAGCAAATTTGTACTTTAATGACCTATGTAGCCAGCAATTAATTGCACTGTATAAGCCATGTATTATGTGATGATAGATTGTTGTGACCTTCTGAACATTACAGTGAGTTTATTGGTTGGGGCGTGATCTAAGTAATAGTTAATCTGAATTTTGAGTTAACATCCTGCTGCGTTAAATGCTAGGTACAATAGTTGCACTAAACTACTATAGACCAGCAGAGCAGAGCTTCATTTACTGGTCCATACTTAGATATCTGTTTGTGCCAGGACAACAGCTGATATGGTGCCATTGGCTGTGGCACTTTCTGAGTTAAGGAGGGTTAAAATTACATGATTTTTCTCCCTTTTTTTTAAACTGGGAAGTGCATTTGTGCGAACATCGGGTGAGAACAGGATCTACCTCTGCGGTCAATTATCTTGCTTAATGTTTGCTGTCAGTGTGCTTTGCCAGATGCTGGCTGACACTTGTGGAAGAGTAACCCAGACTCAGTCAACATTCGGGGGAGAGGGGAATATTGGTAAAGAAGAGAAGTATCCAGGCTACAAACTGTTTCTTAATCTTTCTGTTGGCAACCATGCGATTTTTGTTTGAGTTCATAAATTTACAAGACTGCTGTCCTGCTGTGCGGATTATGTTCTGTGGTTTCTAACAAAAGTAAAAGATTTCAAAATCCTCTTTTTAAAAACTGTAGTTTAGTTGTTGCAAACCAACAAAGAGCATCAATGTTGTCACTGTAGCTGTGTAGAGCGAGTATCTGTCTCATTTTAATAAACCGGTGTTTTGTGTTTTCTCACCAGTGGTTAAGGAATCCAGGCCCCCAACATGAAAAGCGAACTTTGTTCGGAGACATGGTGTGCTTCCTGTTTATAACCCCTCTAGCCACAATCTCTGGGTGGCTGTGTTTGCGAGGTGCAGTGGATCACTTGCATTTCAGCAGCCGGCTGGAGGCTGTCGGGCTCATTGCATTAACAGTTGCACTCTTCACTATTTACCTCTTTTGGACTCTAGTAAGTATACGATAAATTATCTTTTTGGGGGGGATTCCTTTGATTATGAATTAACGTCACTATAAAAGGAGCATTCCTAATGATATTGTTCACTCATCAAATGTCCTTTCACTGGAAGCCTCTTAATACACCACCAAAAAAAATTGCCATCATCATCACTGATCGCCTTCGCTTTACCATCAGAACATTTGTCCCAGATTAATGGATATGTTTCGATCTCCCTTTCTTTTCCCATTTCATGTTTCTTAGATTAAATAACTGGATTTGATACACTCATCCAGTCATTTTCATTTATTTAAAATATTAAAGCACATTGCTGTTCTAATCGTTGCTACAAATGCCTTTTCCCAAATCATCACCTCTACCAGTAAAATCCAGATGTTAAAACAATCACTTATATTTATATAGTGCCCATCAGAAAAGGTAGCGGCCCAGAGCGCTTATGAATAAAATAAATAGATATATATAAAAATAGATGCAGAGTAAAAAGAAATTAAAGTGGGGATGCTTGCAATAAGTGTAAATACATTCCACACATGACTGACTTGAGGGAAACCTCCAAAATATAACTCTTGCTCTTCGTACAACACGTTATCAAGTTGTTGAGATGCCTCAAAGTGCTTCATATTTGGAATAGTATTCCTGTGAATCAGCATCCCAGCCTTTAATGAATTACTACCACACATTGTAATCCCAATACCAAGATTAAACGTGCCTATGAAATGAAGCCATTTCTGCTCATTGTAATGATAAGTGGTCACATATCTATAAAATCTTATTTGGGTTCAATGGTCACTAATAAATTGTAATTAGGCACATTTTTAATTGTTCATTACCATAGCAAAACTTTATTGACAATTGCTTTGGTATTAAATGCATTAGAAAATGTCCCCCTTTTATTTACACTTTTTTTGCTATGTAGTGAGAATACAGGCAGATTGTCACCTCCATTGTTGGTGTCAACGATTCATAGATTCATAGAATGTTACGGCACAGAAAGAGGCCATTCGGCCCATCGAGTCTGTGTTGGCTCTTTGACAGAGCAAGTCACTTTCACTAACCCCAATCACCAGCTTTCTCCCCATAACCCTGCAAACCTGTCTTCCCCAGATACCTATCCAGTTCTCTCTTAAAAACTGTTATCAAATCGGACTTCACTACCCTTTCAGGCAGATCATTCCAAATTCGAACAACTCTCTGAGTGAAAACATTTCTTTTAACCTCCCCTCTGCTTCTTTTGGTAGATATCTTAAGACTGTGACCACGAGTCACAGACCCACCTACCAGCGGAAACAGCTTTTCCCTATCTAGCCTGTCGAAACCTTTCATGATCTTGAAGACCTCTATCAGGTCCCCGCGTAACCTTCTCTGCTCTAATGGGAAAAGTCTTAACTTTTCCAGCCTATCCTCATAGCTAAGCTTCCCCATTCCTGGTATCATTCTCGTGAATCTCCTCTGCACCCTTTCCAGTGCCTTAATATCCTTCCTGAAGTAAGGTGCCCAGAACTGGACGCAGTACTCCAGCTGAGGCCTAACCAGTGTTTTGTATAGATTAACCATAAACTCACTACTCTTATACTCTATGCCCCTACTAATAAAGCTCAGTACACCAAATGCCTTTTTTACTGCCTTATCTACCTGCCCCGCTACCTTTAATGATTCACTTACTTGAACACCCAGATCTCTCTGTACGTTCACCCTCCTTAGCATTGAGCTACCAAGTCTATATTGCCTCCTATCATTTTTCCTACCTAAGTGTATCACCTCACACTTATCCACATCGAAATCCATCTGCCACATGTCAGCCCATTCCACCATTCTGTGTATGTCTGCTTGCAGTTGGTTACAGTCCTCCTCACTATTTACTACCCTACCTAACTTTATATCATCTGCAAACTTGGAAATAGTGCTCTCTATGCCCAAATCCAGATCATTAATATATATTAGAAAGAGCAGTGGTCCCAATACCGATCCCTGGGGGACACCGCTGCTCACCTCCTTCCATTTCGAGAAACACCCATTAACCACCACCCTCTGCATTCTGTCACTCAGCCAGTTCCTAATCCAAACGGCTACTGTCCCCCTAATACCGTGGGCCTTCAGTTTTTTATTAACCTCTTATCCGGTACTGTGTCAAAAGCCTTTTTAAAATCCATGTAAATAATGTCCACCGCATTTCCCTCATCAACCCCTCGCAGTCACCTCTTCAAAAAATTCTATTAGATTTGTTAGGCAAGATTTGCCTTTAACAAATCCATGTCGGCTGTCTCTAATTACCTCATGTTCCTCTTAAGTAGAGATTTACTCTGTCCCGGATTATGGTCTCCAGTAGTTTTCCTATTACCGAAGTTAGGCTGACTGGCCTGTAATTTCCGGGTTTGTCTTTCTGCCCCTTTATGTAGAGGGAGGTAACATTAGCCACTCTCCAGTCTCTTGGCATCACTCCTGTGTCCAATGAAGATTGAAATATAATGGCCAAAGCCTCCGCTATTTGAACCCGTATCTCCCACAGCAACCTTGGGTGAAACCCATCTGGTCCTGGTGACTTATCAATTTTGAGCCCAGTCAATCTTTTCAGAACTTCCTCTCTGCCTATAGTAATATGATCTATGTCCTCTACCCTCTCATCCAATACTGAGGCATTTGGGGCATCCATTTCCGTTGTGAAGACAGATGCAAAGTACTCGTTCAGTACATCAGCCGTGCCCTCTGCCTCCACAACAAGATTGGCGTCATTGTCTTTGATTGGCCCCACTCTATCTTTAACTAACCTTTTTTCCTTTATGTGCTTGTAAAATATTTTAGGATTCCCCTTTATGTTACCCGCTAACCTCTTCTCATGCGATCTTTTAGCCTGCCTTATCACTCTTTTGTTGTTGATGTGCAAACATTTCTTAACCAGATTTATTTTAAATTTCACTAGGTTTCATTTCGTTATCACTGTCGACTATACAACGAGTGGCGTCGGACCAATCAGAGAGTCGTATTGCTGCTCCCAAAGTCTTTGGGTGTGCCATCCACTCAGCAGTCCCTTCTCCAGCCTGTGAAAAGGAACTCAAAAGAGACAATTGTGTGACAACTGGCAATCTTGCCAGACTTCAGGATTGAGAATTCTGCAACAAAGAGTTCTATCCAAAGATAGTTTAATTCTGTACGCTATCTTGTTCAAGGAAGATAGCCTGAGTATTTACAGTAGAGTGACGCATTGGATTTTAAACAATTTGGTAATTGTCGGTTCTTATAAAATTGTGTATTCTTCATTGTTACAGTTACACTGTAGTGTTTGCCCAACAATGCATTGGCAGATTTCAACTGTACTTAGTCATAATAATGCTCTTTACACATGTGACTGATAACATTGTCTTGATATATTCTGTTTTTCTTGCCCTGATAGATCAGGTCATATACTCAGTCTAAACCATGTACTTTTTTACATATTGGTAGGATGTGACTGAGCACTTTCACACTTCTGATTAATAGCTTGGTAAGTTTGGACAGTTTTGTTCCAATTTTCCTGCTGATGCAACCAATTATCTCCATTTCTTCAGTTGTCTTTGAAAAGCTGATGATGTTTTTTTTAATCATTATAAGGATACTAACATTTGATATTTCCACAAATCAAAATGCTATCGTATAGGCGGGGTCAGTGTGATCAGTTTCTCAGTAGCACTTTTTAACCCCTGTGTTAATCATGTTACTGCTATGTAGTAATGCAATCAATTCCTTTGTGTATTCCATCAGAATTGATCGAGACAGCTTTTCCAGTTTGATACAAAAAGGCCATTTGAGTATACCTTTAACGTTGGTGTGTGTGTGTGTGTGTGTACATTATATATAAAAAAAACTAATGTGATTTTTCCAATCTGTCTTAATCTGCTACAAAGCATGTTTGAATCATAACAACAACAACTTGCATTTACATAGCGCCCTTCAAGCGGGGTAGAGTATCAGAGCACTTCATAGTGGCGGAGTCTAACACAAGCCAGGGGGGGAGGGAGTGGGTAGGTGGTCGCAAGTATGATCAAAAAGGAAAGTCTTTAGGTGGGATTTGAAGGTGGATAGTTTATGACGTGTGTTTTTCTATCCAAAGACACACATCATATTCAGAGCCTGGCTATAAAAGTTTCCATGACTAATGCACCAAATCTAAAATGAAGTAGACAATGGGGTATGATTTGCAGTTTACTTAACAATTCCTGTCAATCCACAGGAACCCTGCACCAGAACAACATTGTTTTGGAGTAGAGTTTCCACTATCAGTGGGACGTACTTCCGCTTATCAGAAGGAGCCCCCGTTTGCTGACTGATTGCATTAATACTACAAATTGGCCTCAGATGTTTGTATGTTTTAATTTTATGTTTTATTTTATCTTGAATTGGAGCTACAGTATATCTTAAATCATTATACCAGTGCTCTAATCTCAAAATGTGCTTGAGTTCTTAATTGTGTGCAGCTTGTGATTGGCACTTTTATGAAAATAGTTAAATATCTAATTCTTTAGTGTGTATAATCAGAGGTCTGAAACCTCAAACAGGTTTGACGCCTAAATGGAATATTTTTTTTCTCTCTCCCGAGGTTAATCATGTGAATGTATTGGAAGCTCGAATGCTGTTCTATGGACTGCTTAACTGTGCTTTTTAAGGCACGTGTAAACTACAAGTTATAAATTGGTCAACTTTATCTTTGTGGGTTGGAACCAATTGCAGATACACTTGGAGGAAGATTCACATTTATCGTGTAAATCTGTTTCCAGAATTGTGTAGTAAATCATGTATCTTCCATTACTTGAAGTGTGTTTTCCCCCAAAGTAACCAGGTGGAACTGCTTAACTTTTCAGTTAATGTTTAGTTTGATGTGTTGCTTTTCTGTTATAAAAGGTAAAATTTTGATAGTGCATTTAGAAATGTCGTCTAGACACAAAATTCTTACTAATCTGAACAAATTGCATCATAAGTGAAGTATATATGCAACATTTTAATATGGGGCCAATGGCAATAGAGGGAAGGGGGATATTGTGCCACTCTAAACAGAAGTGTTGGCTCTTAACACTCTAAATTTCTACCTCCAGGAAAGTTTATGTAGATGCAAAAATCACCCATATTGTGCCATTTTCATTAATTCCTGAATATTACATTTCCAGATCTACATGTAATGTGAGCAGTGATTTTATTATATTTGTAAAATCCCAGGAATCAGAATTTGGGAGAAAATGAAATAACGCATTTGTTTTCTGAAAACTGAGGCCAGTGTGGTATTCAATTATGCCTGTGGTCATGACTTCATTGTTGTTCTGTTAGTCTGGCAACCAGTGAAGCACAACAACACTTGGATTTTCTCTTTCCTCTTGGTCGTTCACTTGTACAATATGATTAATATATTTACAGATTTTTTTTGTATTAACCAAGAACATTTATTGAAAGGAGAAATAAAACTTTGGCATACAAAATGCACATTGAATGAGCCATGTACTGATTTCCAGTAGCAGTTGATGCTCATTTCATAGTACCAGACACACCAAGAACTTTTAGAGGAACATTTCTAAGATTTGCAGTCATAGACTGTAATGGTGGAAACTAATTTCCATCATCTCATGACATCTTAGTCAGACAGTTTGCTTTTAGACCATGACTTTCGAGTTAGATTAATACTGCATACTTTGTAGTAAAGGCCATGAAAACAGCAAATGTGACCTGTGCTTCATTTTTATGCAGGATAAAGCTAGAGAACTGTTTAATTTATTTAGCTTTTGGTAAGCATTAAACCATAAAGGCTAGGTTTCATTCTGCAATTGTTTCTCCATTGGATGAAGTCTGATGCAGGGTTTGTTCATCGGTGCTCCATGTGTCGTAGAACCCCATCTATTGGTGACTCATTTACCACAGCAACATACATTTATATTTTGCCCACAAAATATAAAGTCAATTCACTTTACAGTATATTCTGTGAAGCACTCTCGAAGACGTGATAAGGCATTATATCAAAATCAAGGATTATTATTATATAGCACACCTTCATTTTTCCCTTATGTACTCCCCAAAACTTTTCTGGACACGACATTTCCACTTTCCCCTCCAAAAAAATTGTTGTATAGGGTTTATTTTGCTATGTTGATGGGGCTGACAGGGGAGTGGGAAAAACAAGTTACCATCAATGTAGATCTTGAATCAGTGACTGATTCTATGTAAACTGATCCAGAAATAAAATACCCACAAAAAAGTTTTACACATCGACTGCAATCGTGCAATCTGGCCTCCTCAGATCAGTCATCCAGCTCACACCCTGCTCTTTTTGAGGTATGCCATGGAATCTTTCACATGCACCTGAACAGGTAGATGCAATCTCACCTGAAGAACGGCACCTCTGACAATGCAACAGACCTCCAGCACTGCATTGGAGTGTCAGCTCAGACTGAGTTCAATATGGGGCTTGAACTCCCAACTTCTGGCTCGGAGATGAGGAGTGTTAAAAAATGAGCCAGACTGACACATGGATACCACCTACACATGGCAATGTACCTGTGTGGAATTAATGTACACTCTCCCTGGAGGGATGCATCCTCTTATTTAATTCCCCAGGGTACTGCTGGTGTTTAACCAGCTAAAATCATACAGCTTGCCATTGCGAGCGCTATTTGACAAACTTCCCATTGTGTATCCAACTGGTACCACCCTCCCTACGTGTCAGGAATTTGGATTGCAGGGTTAACCATGTGGGCAGAATCCCTGCCCTCAGTGACCAGTCTGCCAATGAGCCAGGCTGGATGGTCGATCAAATAACATCTGGAGTACTTGGACCGACCTTGCTCAGGAACTAAAACAAATAATCCAAATTGATTGTAGAACCGAAGTAGCTGGAATATTGGAAATTTAGTAAAATGCAAATAGAAAATAATTTAATTTTAAGTTTCAGAAATCACTGTTGCAAGGATAAGCTTTATACTTTCTAATTTAGCTGTTCTCTGAGCCTACAGCGACATCTGGTGGCTGGTGAGGGCTAGTTTTTGTGTCCTAAGGATCACCAGCACGTTTTTATCAAGGATAAATATTTATTTCGATAAATTTAACACCTGTTGGCTTTCTAGCACAAATTTAAATATTAAGCAATCTCAATTCTAGCAGAACACTGAGGCATTAAAAATTATAATCTTTGCATTTGATATGATGGCTTTCATATTGGGAGAATATCCCTTAGCATGATTTACTGTAAAATGTGCTGTTAGCTAATGTGGCAGCCAATTTGCACACAGCAGTGTCCCATATACATCTATGAAGTGAATGGCCATTTTTATCTTTCAGATTGTTGGCTAGGACACTGAGAAACTCCCATTTGTTTTTTGAAAAGTGCATTGAAACCTTTAGCCGCCATCTAAACAAACATTTGGAACCTCAGTTTAGATGTCTGAAGCATTGCACCTCAAACATCATAGCGAACGCCAGCGCTGTAATAGTGACAACTTACATGGAGTTCAAAGTTCTAGTGTGGGGTTTGAACCCATAACCTTTAACTTGGAGGCTAGTGTTACAGACTGCTTCCAGCTGACACCTGTCATTAAATGGAAACTTAATATCTCCTATAAACTATGTAATTGGCTTTGCATGCTTTACACAAAAAAAGTGACCCAGGTGACTTCGCCACCGATAATCCTTCAGACTGGTCTGGTTTATTTTCTGAAAAGTTTTTATAGGTTCCTTCTAAATAATGAAAATGTATCTTGTCCACCCCGCCGTGATAAAAACCACGCAATACATTGAATGCATCAGTAATGTTTCCTTCTCCAAGATCACAAGTTCTGCTTTGCACATTTGATCTTCTGAATAATCCAGCTTTAGCTCTGGGGCCTCACCACCTGTCTCCTCTGCACATTTCTGTCCTTTAACAAACTTGCCTTTCAAAGTGAGGAACAGAGGTTATTCAATATTGGAACAGTTACTTGCCATCAATGGGAAATCTTTACAATAATAAATTAGTTCACATCAAGGAGTTCACAGCACGGAAACTGCTCTGGTTAAGGTGACAAACAACATTTTCTCCATCTGTGACCAGGGCTCCTTCTGCCTCCTCGTCCTCTCTACTGCCTTCGATACTGTGGATCACACCACCCTCTTCCACCTCCTCTCCTCTCACCTCAACCTTCAAGGTTCTGTCCTTGAATGGTTCAGGTCTTATCTCACACACAATCTTCAATTTGTCTCCGTCAATGGTTTCTCTTCCAGCCCCTGCACAATCTTGTGTGGTGTTCCTCCGGGTTCTGTCCTCAGTCCCCTCCTCTTCATCCTCTATATGCTTCCCCTTGGTGACATCATCCGCAGACATGGGGTAAATTTCCACACGTGTGCAGATGACACCCAACTCTTATCTCTCTGCATCCAATCTCGATTCCAGGACAACTGACGCCTGACAAGACTGTCTGTCTGACATCCAAGTCCTGGATGAGAGCCAACTTTCTGGAGCTGAATGTCAGCAAAACCGAGGCCCTCCTGATTGGCTCGCACCAGCGCCTCCGTACCTCAGGCACTGGCAGCACCAGCATCCACGGTTGCACACTCCACCTCACCAATCCAGTCAGGAACCTGGGTGTCTTTTTCGACCCTCAACTGTTCCTTTCTCCCCCATATCCGTGCCATGACCCGCTCTGTCTTCCCCCACCTCCGCAACATTGCCCAACTCCGCCACTGCCTCACCCCTCAGGCCGCCTAAACCGTCATACAGACATTCGTCACCTCAAGGCTACGGAAACTCCCTCCTGGTTGGCCTCTCAACTCTTCCCTCCACAAGCTGCAGATCATCCAGAACACTGCAGCTCATGTCCTCTCCCACACCAGACTCCATGACCTCATCACCCTCACTCAGCTCCACTGGCTCCCCATCCCTCAGAGGATAGAATTCAAAATCCTCATCCTCACTATCAAGGCCTTTCACAGCTTTTCCCCCTCCTACATCTCTGACCTGCTGACCTCCTATCAACTTGTCTGCTCCTTCCGCTCAGCAGGCTCTGGCCTGCTCCAGGTCTCCCGCCCGAGCCGCCCTACCATCGGCGGCCGAGCTTTCACCCTCTCTGCCCCCACCATTTGGAACTCCATCCCACAATCCCTTCGTCTTGCTCCCTCTCGTCTCGTTTAAGGCGCGACCCAAGACCGTCCTTTTTGACCGTGCCTTCAGCTGCCTTCCTAGCCCCTCTGCCCTCCCTCATGCCAACCCTGCCCCCCATACTCAGGTCACGATCCCTGACTGTTCAGCGTCTTAGCACGTCCTCTCACTGTGAAAGGCACTTTACAAATGTAATTTTGTTGTTGTTTTGTGTTGGAGAGCCTCTGCAGCACATGCAGGTGTTTATTTTTACACATTAAAACATTTTCTCCACTTCTTATTTAGATAATGCAATTTATGTTGCTCAATTCATTCCAAATTGTGAAATGCCACGAAATGTTTTCAGTCCTGAATAAGGGAGGATATACAGGGTGACCAAAAAGTCACACCACCATTTATTTTAATAATAATTACTTTATATTTTTTCATTACTTCTTTAAGACTTATTAATGGTATCACAACTTTATAGTCAGCCTGCATGTTCAATTCCAACTGTTCAGTTCACAATTCAGGTTGCACTCAGTGGTAGCAAAGAGAGAAGATAAATACTGACCGAATAATCCAGCTACCCCGACTGCCACCCGAAAGGGCAAATGTCTACTTCTGCCAGATTAATGTCCACCAACATCACTGGACAAGCTTTTTTGGCCATTCTATTCCTGTTCGCTGAACTCCATCCTGGAGTCCCTCTGTCTTGCCTCTTTCTGCCTTTAAATCTTTTTGACCTCAAGCCTTCCAGGCAACCGTTGAAAGTAGTTTCAGATGTCCTTGATGTGAAAGACACAATATAAATATCATTGTTGATGAAATACAAGTTCAAGTGCTTAACCACCCTGGAAAGACTTTTTCCCCCAAAGGAAATCCCAATACACCTTAAATGTATTCAAAAAGAGACATGTGTGGTTGTGTGAGGCAGAAGGGTGGGGTGGGGGAGTAGTATTTAATGCTTTAATCTCAGCCCTACAGCACATCCAGCACTTCCTTTAATTGACCACCAGCAGCCATGTTTCACACTCTGTCTCTCAACTCAATTGTACTGCCCTCCAAAATCCCTCTTTCTCAATATTTTCAAAACCTTCCTAGAAACCTAAATCTTCAATTGTGCCTTCAGTTATCTTTCTTCCTCCTCCTCCTCGCTCATCCTGTGAAGACATCCTACTTTGACTAACTAATTGGCAAGTGTTGCACATCCTCTGTGACGTCCAGTTTCTGTATATACAATAATCCCAATTAAATAATATTCCTTGCATTTGATACACCTTTCACACCAAGAAGATATCTCAAAGCACTTCACAGGATTTACTGCAATTTGCATCGACTGTTTTTGTAGACAAGCACGGCAGCCAATTTGCACACAACAGCAGCCGCAAAGTAAATCGCCAATTTTATCTGGAGATTTGTTGGCCAGGACACCAGGAGAAACTCCCTTCTCTTTTTCAAAAGTGCCATGAAATATTTAATGTGCAGCTGAACAACACCTGCCAGCACTATAATGGAGTGTCTAAATTATGAGATCAAAGTCCCTCAGATGCAAGTGTGCTATTAACTGAACCAGGTTGACACCTCTATAGCACCTTTCCCTTAGAAGGATGTCTCAAAAGTGCTTCACAGGATTTATTGTGTGACTCTTTTTTATATATACATACACATGCACACACATCAGGCAAATGTATTGAATGTAGGCAAGCAATTAATGTAGATACACAGCAACATAAGTGATGCATCAATATGCTAGCATTATACCTCAAGAATAAGTGCAACACATTTAATTAAACAATGTTTATTTTGTCCATCTTGTAAAGAAAATCCAGGTATGCAATTGCTAAGTTTAAAAACTAACATCTATATTCAGACTCACTATGTTCCCACCCACTCAGGTGGGAAAGAGGGAGGAGGAAAAAGCCACAACAGAAGAATTTCCCTTCATCCCAATTTTTGTGGTACATTTTTACCATCTTCGTATAAACATTTAAAAAATTAAAATGTTGAGCTCAGTGCTGTATTTATAAATTTACAAAATGTTATTGAACTACTCCCCCCACAACAGCACCCATAAACTCAAAATGAAGGCCTTGTCACAAATGTAGCTGCCTCTTTAAATGGCCAATTTAACAACTCATTACCTTTCCAACCTGTTTTTTTGTCTGTGGTAGTATCAGATAAAACTTTTGATTAAAAAAACGTCTGCGATTCACATTGTCTTTTTTTGCAGAAACACACTGGCTCCTTTAAACTCCAATCCCTGTTACTGTTCTACAAAAAGCTCAGTAAAGCAAAAGAAATCGTAAAAAGGCCTGGAATCCAGTTTGTGCATTTTACAAAATAATGAAATTTAACAAAATACCTAAAATATTGAATGTACAAGTCAATGTGAAATACAAAAATAGTTGTGAATCTGGATATAAAGTTTGACATAGGCAGCAATGAACTTTTTGTTTTTGAAGAAGTCTTGGAAGACGATCACATTACTGCACAGCTCCTGTTGGCTGCTCTTGGATCTCCCTGAAGAACAGAGGATAAAACATTAAGAGGATTTGAAATAGTTAACTGGAAGGTTTCAAACAAACCAATTTCTACCCAAAGTGGTACCAATCTTCAACGTGCCTACAGTCACCTCCCCTTTCTTCCTAGGTTGTAGCCAAATTATATCATTGTTCAGCACTTTTGAGAAGCTACCCCATGTAAAGAGCGCTATATATAAATGCAAATTGTTGTTGTACCAAGAGTAATCCCTCCCCACTAAATTTATACCTCTGCCTAGCATTCTAACAGCCATCATTTACAATGTCACCCATGCCAAAACCACAAGGATTGTATATTTTTCATTGTAGTTTGAGATTTAGCTGCTGTAATCTGGCACTACAGGGCAAAGAAATACATCAAAATTAAACTTGGTCTTGTGCTTATAAATGATTTCAAAGCAAATTTAGGGAGTAGAGATCAGAGTGCCTTGGCTTCTTGTGAACTAAAGATCTCATTATGGCTAATAGAGCATCCGGTTTCAATTTCTAATGAGACAGTCAAACTAAAGATAGATATGCAAAACATCTCACCATACTTCACTACGTAATTGCACCAAATGTAGACATTTTTTGCAGGAAAACAGCAACACATTTTCCACAAACCATGAAGTGAATGGCCAGTTGGCTAGGGCACCAGAAAAAAATCTTTTTGTTTTATTTTTGGTTTAACATCTGATCTGAAACGCTGCACTTTAACCTATTCATTTTCAATCAATACTAAACTCTTCACCAGATATCTAACCATTCTATTGCCATAATACAGCCACTGGGAAGAATCTGAAACATTCAAATATCTTGAATGTTAATTGAACCCATGATTCAACCAAATTCTACCCAAAGCCTTGAACCTTGACTAATGAGAACACTAAAGTAAAACAGCCTCAACTGGACCTCACAGACTAACACGATACCTTGAATAAGTGTGAAAACCTCAATAGGACTGTTAAAATTGTACACTTGGAAAAATAGATGTAAGTTAAGATGAAGCTTTACACACAAGATGAAATTAGCGCACCCAAAGATCAGGTTACATAATACAATACAAAATGACATTTGTAAAGCGCCTTTCACGTCGGGAGGACATCCCAAGGCACTGAACAGTCGGAGATTAGGACCCGAATAGGGATTAGAATAAAACTAGACCAGCACAGAAAGTGGTTTGACCATTGTTTAATGCAAACTGATCCTTCTATACTAGAACATACCTGTTGATGAAAGAGATCCTCTTCTTGAATCTCAACTTCTTCCTCCTCCGGCACAGTAGTTGTGTAAATAGTTGTTCTATCAGCCACTTCCTAAAAACAGAAAAAGTTTCCCCATTACAAAAAAAAGCTTGAATTGATTTTTTCATTTTTTTTGTTCCATTATAGGTGTTCCATTTCCAAACAAACCCAAATAAAACTACAAGAACTATAAAAAAATCTTTTCAAAATCACTGTATAAGAGTGGTATTAGTGAAGGCTTATATTTTCTGTGAACATTGTTCTATGAGTCCTCCTGACATGAAAGGCAAAATCTTAAATGAACATTTGATCAAAGGTTTACCATTCATTAAACATGCCCCAACTCTGACCTCTGCTTTCTCAGCTCTCCCTTGAAACCTTGTTAAAGCTCAATATGAGCTAAATTGACTATTCAGTTTTAATTGAATCTCACATTCCTGCGACCAAAGCTTTTGGTTTGAATACTTCCATACTGAGTATATAAACCAGTTTCCTCAAAACAATTTCAAGATTTACCTCTCCCTGAGAATTCTTCAGAATGACTTTCACATCTTCCCCAGTGCCCCAGGCAGGCTGGTTCTTCCAGATGAGGTTGGCAGGTGGACTCGATGTCACACCAGCATCGGTAGCCCAGACCTGCAGATAAATAGTAATTATACATCATACTACATGGCAATATACCATCCTGGCCAGCAAGAGAAATCTCACTTCACATTCGGCCCATGGTCTATGACTCATCTATCTTTATACTATTAAAACAACAATGTTTGTCTGTCTGTGCATGCTTCCAAGAAGGATCTCAATAACCGATTGACGTAGAGACATGATTTATCAGAAATCGGAAAGGTCTTGCAACTGGGAGTGACATGGGCATATTTGTTTTTGGATATCTCCTATCGTTCAGGAATTATGACCTAAAATGTGTTTCAGTTTTGCATTTTACACTGCAGTTACACCTAATGGCCGCGTCTCTGCCCGAGGCATCCTGTGTCACAGAATATGCATGTAGCCAAGCGACGGGAGCAAAATATAGAACACAGATGAGGCTGAGCCACAGCAACAACAAAATTACATTTTTGAAGTGTCTTTCACATCGGGAGGACATCCCAGTGATTATAAATTTTACATTTATATTTATCATTATAAAGATGCCTAAGCAAAAATCAAACCTTTCAAGGATAAAGAAAATTCCTAGCCAAAAGAGAGAAAGCCCATTAAATTAAACTGAAGAACAAAGAACAGCGCAGCTACACTTCAATGCTGAAAGGACTGCAACAAGTTGCCAAAATGAGTTGCCCACTCAAAGAACAGCATGGTCAAAACAAGTCCTGCCACAGGAGTCCTCCCAGATGAGACTAGAGAGAAATGAAATGTCTGTCTGTGTGTCTGTCTGTGCATCAATCTACATTCCATATTGGATCCTTTGGTTGCAAGAACAAGCACGGCCTGTAATAAAATCCAGTCTCCAAAGTCAAATTACAGATCTCCTAGTATTTTTCCTACCAGATTAAAATACCATTTTCATGCTAAAATGGTTTACATATCCTTCCTTTAAGCTTGTATTTCCAGCTTTCAGTGAGTCCTCTATACAGACTGTCATGGGAAAATGTGGATGGAAAAGGTTATTCCAAGATTCGCTGCTTTGTTTGTAAGCATGATCTCAAAATCTCCAACCCACTCATTACGACCTTTTCCATCCTTACCTTCCTACGGCTATTCCACATCTGCCAGTTGAGATAATGACCAAAATCCTAAAGGGCTTCTGAAACGTGAAATCCATGATAATGAGCTCAAGGGTTGGGAGGAAAGACTCCCAGCAACCCACTAAGGAGTCAAAATTGAGGCATGGGGGGGGGTGGAAACAAACTGGTCTTAGGCCAGCAATGAGAACTCCATTTGGATGCTGACCTCAGCTTTGACTAGCTTGAAGCCAGACATGGCCAATGAAAATTCCAGAGCGGAGGTCTCCAGAGCGGAGAAATTAGTTGCAGCCCAACCCAAAGACATCCTAACCATATGGCACTGCAGAAACTCCCAACTAGAAAAGTCAGCTTTGTGTTACAGGTTGAGAATTCCATTTTCCCCAATCTACAGAGTTCTCCAATCACTGAGCTCAATACATTATAGTGGAACTTATGACCTTAGTAAATTCAAACATGGTATTCTCATCGATTCCCAAGCACTGGATCTTCAGGTGTATTTCAAATCCAGTACTTCTGACACAGAGGCACAAGTTTGTGGAATTAAACCCTATATACAGTCTACCTACCGTAGTGGCCTGTCCTGCCTTCAAAACATACTTTGCAGTAAACTTGTAAGTAGCAGTCACATCCCCTATTTTTCTGGTCATTTCCCAGTTGCCCATAGGTTGATCCTAAATTCAAAACAAAAGGTCAAAGTGAGGCAAACACCAACATTTCACCATTGGGGCAAACCTCTGGTCCATTTTATCCATAGAACAATAACTTGCACTTATATAGTGCCCTCCACCCAGAGTAACGTCTCAGAGTGCTTAAGAGTGGCGGAGCCTGACTAAGCTGGGAGGAAGGGGCCGTAAGCACAGTCGAAGAGGAAGGTTTTCAGGTGGGACTTGAAAAAGGGGAGAGAGGGGGCAAGGCAGAGGGATTGAGGGAAAGTGTTCCAGAGTTTCGAGGCATAGTGGCTGAAAGCACGACTTCCAATGGTGGGGCAGAGGGTGCAAGGGATGAGCAGGAGGCCAGTGCCAGTCGAGCGGCGGCACCGGATGGTGGATTGGGGAGTGAGGAGGAAGAGAGGTGCCAGAGAGTGACGGGATTTGAACACAAATGTGAGGATTCTATCTATACCTGATCAGAATTGTTTTTCAGACGGATGAATTTTCCATCCACATCAACTTCATCGAGGACAATATTGCCTGTGGCAGAAGCATGGTGAGCGATGCTGACACTACTGCTAGCCTCAGATTCCTCGACATCGACCCGCTTTCTCTTTCCGCGGGTTGTACGCACACTGCGGCTTGATGTGGCACGAGAAACCGTCACACGTGATGATGGACTTGGAGAGAGTTTCAATCTGAAATGCACAAATTCAAGAACAAATTAAAATAATAATCCTTACATCCGATATAGTGCTTTAATCAAATATGAATGTTAACCCTGTGCATAAAATTGGGGGGGAGGAAGAGAAGTGATTGACAATGATGAACAGGTTACCTAGAAGTTGTTAAAATAGTTTTGATTCAAACCCAATTTCCTCTCTCTACCTACTAAGCAAACTAACTTCCATACATTTTGAACAAATATTTCCTACCACTAAAATCCAGTACATAAAACTTCCAGGGCAATTGAGAATTACTTCTTGCTGCTTTCAGTAGCTGTACTGATCCCATCTTTTACATCAATTATCAGGACTATATTGTAACCTGATTGTGCTACAAAACCAATTCTTAGGACTATTGGTCTGCAATGGTCCTTAGGCTAAAGCAGACACAAAGTTGAATTGGAAGGGTCAACAATAACTTGCAAATTCTTACTTGCCACATGTCCCGTAAAAAGCAATGAAGTGAATGACGATTATTCTAATTAAGAAACTTCATTCCTGGTCTTATTGCCCCATTGGTGAGCCGAAAAATATTTGGTTGTTTATACAAGTATATTAGAACCTGAAGAAATTACCTCTCCTCTTCACTCTCCAGCAGTTTCCTGTAGGCATTAATTTCCATATCCAAAGCCAGTTTAACATCCAGAAGCTGTTCGTATTCATTAGCTGCTGTTCCATTTGTGCTCGGATCTCTGCCATTTCTTTCTCTCTTGCGGTCATCATCCTCTGGTTTGAATCCCTCTCCTTTTCCAGAGTGTCTTCCAATTCCTGGATCTTATCTTGCCAAGCTCTAGCCTGCGGGGCAAAAAAAGCTATGAAATTAATTGAAATTCAATAGAAATTTGTTGTTAAACTCTTTATTCGGTTATCTTGCATACTTACATCCTTCTGCATGCTGGATAACTGAGTGCTAAGACTTTCTATTCTCATGCGATTTTCCCGCAGTTCTTCTTCAGTTGCCTTGGATGATCGGGTGGTCATCGCAGAAGCCAGTCTCGCATTTTCAAGCTGAAAATATAACCCAAGTGTTAAGCCACAGGAAGTTCCTAGACCTGCTTTGCCGGAAAAGGAGATGGCAATTTTGAGTCAATTATTTCATCAACTTATGGGTGGGATTCAAAATTGCCAAAGTAATTTTCCAGTGAACTCAGCCTGGTTGGATGTTACTGTTCAGTGTATATACCACAATTCTGTCAATCATTTAAATGAAAGCAGCATTCTGCTCTGAGACGCCGTCCGGCGTGGAGGGCACTATATAAATTAAAGTTGTTGTTGTAGCATACCACAACTGTAAAAGTGATGAGGTTACTGAATTCTGAAGTGGTTTTGCAACAGAGCCCTGTTATGTGACATTGCCAGCAAATGTGTATATCACCCATCTCAAAAGTAATTCTATTACAAAATGAGGAAGTGTTCGCTGTGACTACAGATGTTTAGATCAGAACTTCACTAGTTATGAAGCAATATCCTAAGTAATTTACACTGCTGCCCAGCTATACCTGTTTCCTAATGTAAAACTACTCTATAATGCTCAGTCTGATATTCACTACTCAATCACGTTCTCTAACCATGGGACTCGACAAAATCCAAAACTGCTCGGTCATTCACTTCACTGTGTGCTACATCCTTGACTCATATGCAATTTTGAAGCAGGAATGAAGTAAACAGTGGCTGGCGACTCTACACAAAGAAAAAAAGCAATCTATTTGAACCACAATTTAAGTAGATTTGAGACACGTCTTCCCAACATTGATCCATCTGCAATTAATTTTAAAAAGTTTTGAGGTACAGACCATAAGAAGTCTAGACTAAGACGACTAGACTTCTAAACCAAGAAGTCTAAATAACCACTGAAATCTGTTTCGTCATATATACCTTCGTTAAAAGTAAATGAACTATTTCGTAATAGAAATAAAGCTTTTGAGGAGCTGGTCGCCTTTATCAAACTTTTCCAGCTTTGGGTCCGCAACTCACAGGTCTGACAACATTTCTGCACTTCCAAATGTCATTCATGTGCCAACAATTTTAAATAACGCCTTGGGTTACAGTCCCACAAATAGCCATGAAATGAACGATCAATTTTGTTTGTGGGATTGTTGGCCAGGACACCTGGAGAAACTCTTTTCTTTTCAAATAGTGCCATGACATCTTTAATATCCATCTGAATAGGCAGACAGGACCTCAGTTTTAACATTTCCTCTGAAGAATAGCACCTTCGACATGCTGCACTGGAGCGTCATCTTAAGACTATGTGAGTTAAAGTCCCAAAGTGGGGCTTAAACCCACAATCTTCTGACTCGGAGGCCAGAATGGTACTCCTGAGCCAGTCTGACACAATTGGAAGAGGAGTGGAATTCAAAAGCAACTCCAAGAAGTGAAATTGTTTTAGAAAACAGTAAGTAAGTGGCTGTGACCATAGAACTTACAATTTATCTTAATGGCAACAGCCAAGTGGTGAGGAATCAAAAGGGAAGTTTCCAGTCATTGCCAGAACACTTGCATTATGTATTTTGTATACACACATATAATCCTTTCACTATACTTATGTTCATCTTACCCTCCTCGCTCCATTCGGGTGTGCTAAGCCAGCAGTGCTAAGCCCTAAAGGACGATAATAAAGGTAACTTCTACATTGAAAAAGAAAATCCCCACCTTATTCTGGTAGTTCTGTTCTAGTTCTTCTTTGTAGATCTTCACTTGCTGATCATGTTGTTGCCTCAGCTCCTGAAGGGCCTGGGACAGTTTGTGCTCGTATTCTATAAACCGACCCGTATCCACTTCAACCAGACGAGTCTCGTGCTTTTTCCTGGTTTCCTTGATTTCCTTCACAGAAAAAAAAAAATTGTGTGAACAGTGGTTCTAACAATAAAGAAAATGATCAAAATCTAGAATTTACCTCTTTGAAAAAGACGTTCAATTCTGGGTGATAACCTACACTGGGTGATACTTTATAATTAGGAGAAAATTGAAACATCAAGCTGGAATGTACTATGACATACAAGGGAAGCCTATTACAATATCCTTCAATATAGCATCATAGAAGATGAATGCCATTCTCAATATAGCGCTACTCATTTACAAAGCAAGTAGGTAATGGACTCTGATATTCTGTTACTAAGCGTAAAACTCCATTTAGAACAAAAAGAGAGGAAGGAATTTAGGTTGCACATTGCAATAACATTCAACCTAACTTACAAACACGAGTGGGCTGGTTTCACACCTGAGAATAAAACAATGAATTTTCTTTCTTGTCAGCCAAGTGTCCAACGCGTGCAGAAACCCATCACCGTGCTGAACAGTATCCAAAACAGACTGAGTTCCATTCATGTCACCTACTCGTGGACGTTTCTATGCCTGAAATTAAACATGTATTTCCTGGAGCGCACTACTAATTAACCAGGCTGGTCAGTTTATCATCAAAAGTACCCTGGAAAACCGTGGATTAGCTCAGGAACCGGACTGCTAAAAAGAATCAACTCCATCCCAATATTCCATTGCCAAGTAAGTCACCTTGAAGCCAGTTCAGCTCCAAGGAGACTTGCTTACCTTGTCTCCTCCCCACCCCCCCAAGGAGAATAGTTAATGCATCACAGAGTTTGCAGCCAGCTTTCCTTCATAAAAGTACACCCCAGTGATGTCGTTAGGGATGCCATCAAACCAGAAGCAATGATCGGCAGTGGCTGTTTAACACCCTTGCTGGTAATGTGGATTGCAATTTCCTGGATACTATCAACCCCATCAGAGTGGAGTTCATCTGTATTTGTGCCAGGCAGACACTGGAGAAAGAGAGAAAAAAAAGTGCAAAGGAATCTCACCTACAGTCTCTCGATTACGTGGAGTCCTGTAGCTCAGTGGTTAGAGCACTCGCTTTGCAAGTGAGAGAGACCCGAGTTCAATTCCAGGCAGGGAGAAACCTTGGGCAAGTTTCCTTACTCCACACTCCTGATAATAATCCCTCCAAAGCCCAAAACAATAATAAATTGGTCATTTTCAATCTACGACTGTTTGTGGGACATTGCTGTGCGCAATTAGCTGCCGCGTTCGCCCACAAATATACAGTCAATTCACTTTATAGTGTGTTCTGTGAAGCGCTTTGGGACGTCCTCCCGACGTGAAAAGCGCTATATCAAATGCAAGGATTATTATTATTATTACTAGAAGCCGGAGGAGACCATAGATCACAATTATAAATTATAAGGTTAAACCTGGCTTCCCTTTAATTTGGTTAGACTACCATTCAACAGTTCACAAGTATGCATAAAATTCAGAATTAGCTATGTGGTAAGTTTAAGAGCAATTCAACAAGTTAATAAGTCTTTCTTTGTGGTATAGTCTGGACAGCTCATTTCTTCTAGTTTTAGGAAGTGGCTCTTTCCCTGCTCTGAAAATAATGCATCTAAAACCAATTGTCTGCCCACACTTCACTTGTTAAAATAAACAGAATATCTTTTGTGAGACACGAATGCTTTGCCTTCTGAAGAAGAGGGTGGAAAACATTTCTAAAAGCACATGAACGCTGTGTTCAAGAAGAGTGCAGGGTGAGGATCAAAAGGTGATTATTGAAAAGGGGACAGTCAAAGAAATTGGATAAGTGCAGCAACTTCCTGCTAAGGTTTTAACAGTACAAACAGACAATTTCTGTTTTATTGGCACACCAACACAAAACGTGAGACTAAACATGAATACACTTCAAAAACAGTATTTTCTACAATGGAGGTTCTAGATTTACACTCAGTGACATTATACAAAGTTAAATATATGTTACAACATGGTAGGTGAATCAATAAAATACCAACTCATGCTATAGCAAAGCATGATACTGGTTTTCATTGTGCACTTGCACAACCGGTCAGGCTGGGTCTCGCATTAAAAGAATAGTCAGCTTCCAAGTCACAAGTCACTATCGATATCACCATTTGTTGTGCAAAGAAGGAAATGCCATCTTCAGCAATCTGATAACCTGGAAGATGGCCAAGACAGACAGGAAGGGAGCATACTGGCTGCAGGCATGCACCATGAACTTCATTCACTGCACAACAGTGGTATATCCACCATACTCTACGTACAGGGCAGCTCTGTTGTAATGCTTTAAAGCAGTGGGTTATGACAAGGCTGTACATGGAGCACAAAATTAGCTCTCCTCACTGTATATCCAAGAATTGAATTACAAACTGAAAGTTGCAGAATTAGCGCTGTGATCTTGTATTTTTGTCAGGACAACAGCAATATTGTCAGTGCAGATCTGTATTTCTAGCAAAGCACACAAAGAGCAGTGAGAACTTGCAGGTTTGTACATATCACTTATTGTGGTGGCTTTTGATGAGTCAATTCTGGTTTACTACCATTGCAAACTATTCAATGAAAGTAAACCATGCCCAGCAGTCAGGAAAAGGAATAGCAATTGTAACAAATGATTAAGGCCATACCTCTTCATAGATGTTCTTTCTGAATTCCAATTCCTCTGACAGACTTTGACATCGATTCTCAAGGTCTACTCTCAAGAGAGTTTCTTCTTCCAGCTGTTTCTTCACACCATCTAAGGAACCTTCCAACTGAACCCAAGAAATGTTACAGTTAGCAAGAACACAAGCTACATTGAACAAAACTACTAGTCAAAGACATTAAAAGGGCCAAGATTACTAATACATTTCAATGCTTATCTAGTCAGGTCTGTTCTTTATAGGGACAACTAACTTCACAACATGTACTAGAAATTGAGGAGAACAATTCTGAGTTGCTTAAGATCAACATTTCAAAAGAATAGTTCACTTCAGAATTCAGCAGCTTAACAATAATAATAACCGTCGCATTTGATACAGCACTTAATCACATCTGCAACACATCTCAAAACACTTCACAAGATTTACTGTTGAGTGTACTGACTGTTTTGTGACACACACATTTAGGACAAAGAAAGATCTTACATATTTTGCAAACAATATCCACTGAATACTAAAGCACATCTTGAACACATTAGAGAAAGAGAAAATATTGCAGTGTTGGAGGAAAGATTATACTGAACCTACTCAAACAAATAAAGTGTTTGAATGCAGTTCACATCTGTGTTTACAACCCCAGTGACCAGCTCGCTTGTCATTTCTCTGAAGGAGAATTTTACCTTTGAAACCCGAGCACTGAGAATCTCAACATCTCCTTCAAGGGTTTGCTTTTCCCCCAGTGCAGTGGCAAGGACAGCCTCTTTGGAATGCAGCGCCGCTTCAAGGTCTTTAACTCGAGCCTGGGCACCATTTAAATCCGATTCTTTCTTAGTAAAACTGTTGGAAGAGCAGGAAAGAAAAGAAATTCAGACAACAAGTTTTCCTCAGTCAAAATACAAAAATCTACAATGGGTGTTTTGCCATAGGCCTGGATTTAAGGAAAGCAGTACACATTGATAACAACGACAACATTGATAAAGGTTTAGTAATTGGTTTATTACAAGTATTACATCACCAAATCCTACAAGACGTTCTTGGCATTTAACGTCCAAGAAAATGGAGAGTTTTCAAACGTACTGCTGCATTCTTGGTACTGGTCTCACACTTCAGTAAAGCTCCTGCATATATAAATAAGAACTCTCAACCACAGTATCGTTTAAGGAAGTGTGAATGCAGAAACTATAAAAACAAAGAAGCTCATTTGTTAACACAGGAAATATACGTCCAAAGCTATAATGCAACTTGAATGCAAGTCTCTATTCTTAATGGTCTTAATGAATAAACCTAATTGGACGCAGGCAGTCGATACAAATTCTTAGTGAAACCAGTCACAAATAATCCACTGTTAAAGAGTGGTCACATTATCTATATCTCCGAAGTCATACAGAACATCAAAAAACATAGTACTTGAGATTTCTTCAAGTTCAATTTCAGAGAAACGGATGCAAGCCTTTTCAATACTTCTAGGGATCTTCAAAGCTAGCTTCAATCAAATTCCATTGGAAAGAATTTTTATGTGAAATTTGATTGGTAAAATGCTTTTGCCAAACAAAAATTCTTTTTTGGCTTCCAGTCCCATGGAGCAACACAAATTGCATGCTCGAACTCCTACTGAACCTTAAGATACTGGGCGAGAACTTCAGCATAGCACTGTGTATACAAAGTGTTTCAGGATGGTTTTTTTGGCACCCAAGTTTGCACATGTTAATAATAATCATGTAGTGGAGGAGCTGTTTGTAAGTTGCTCTCTGAAAAATGGTGTACTGACTGTACAGCTAATGTAGATATAATTGCATATTTAAAACATAAAAAGGCTATAATGCTTCTATCAATGGCCGTTGCTCCTGCTTCAAGGTCATTGTGTCGCCTCAAGTCAATTGAGGACTGACCAGTCTCCTGTGGATTCTAAAAATGTACCACATTTCCAATAACCATATGGTCTGTAGGATACCTCATCCAAAGCTCCAATGACCTGCATCCTCACTAACACCAAACTCCACACGCATCGTTCCAGTCCAGCCAGGATCCACATCTCCCTATGGGTAACTTCAAGGTGCATCATAAATTCCTTCACATACTAGAAATGCTCTCTCTGTGATCTCCCACCCCACTCAGCTGTTCACCCCCTCTGTTTGACTTGGGCCTGCTGCACGTCTGCAGCCTTCTCTGCTGCACTGTCAGAGGCTGAGCCTTCACCTACTACACCCCGACCAGTATTCACCCTAGTATTCACCTAAACATGTTAGGACTTAGAATCACATAGTCTAAGCTGACACTCCAATGTAGGGCTTGGAAAGTGCTGTTATGTTGGGAGATGTCATCCTTCGGATGATACATTAATCTGAGGTCCCACCTACCTGTTCAGATGGATGTTCAAGGTCCCTTGGCACTATTCGTAAAAAGGAGGGAGTTTCTCCCAGTATCCTGACTACCCAGTATCAGTACCCCAGATAAAATTCGTCACTCAGCCCATTGGTTGTAGGACATTGATGTGCGCAATTGGCTGCTGGGTTTTGCACACAAAATACACAATCAAACCACTTTACAGTATATCCTATGAAGTGCTTTGAGATGTCTCAACAACATGATATGGTACTATTTCAAATGTAAGGATTATCATCATTATTGATTTCAAGGACAAGATGGAAGAAAACAGAGGGAGAAGGAATTGAGTGCAGTAGCTGAGAAATCCTTGCTTTGCTACTCATCAAGATTAGTTCCATTAACTCCAGCAGATGGCAGTAATAATTAAACTTGTGTGATACTTCACAAGTAGGATGGGTTAACAGTTTTAAACAGCGACAACACATGCTATTGGTTACAGCAGCATTTCAGAATTAGACATCATCAAGATATTAATCTTGTCAGTGGATAAAGATTGTCAGTGGACAAGTCTGAAAGTTACTTTTTCCCTCCCTAGTGTGTTTGGAAACATTATAAAACACATTTCAGAGCCATGCTTAAAAGCACCTCAGAACCCATTCATCTAAAAATAGGTCTATGTGCTCCTCTTCAGAATCCAGCATAGCCCATCATAGTCACCAATGTTTTCCTTAACTACTTCAGGATGAGGTAGACTGTCAGTGATTCACAACATGATTTTACATATCTTGCTGATCACCTCAAGTGCACCATGCAACTCCAGTGTACTTTGTTGCCAGAGTTCGTACAGGATGGTATGACAAATTTCTGGTTAGTCAAGCTTCATAAAAAGCAGCACCAAACAACTGGTTGCTGGAGCCTGAAATGTACAAACCAACAACAACAAAATTACATTTATAGAGCGCCTTTCACGTCGGGAGGACGTCCCAAAGCGCTGAAGTTTCCAAAGTTCCAGGTATTGGATTAGATTGACATCAGTTTGCATTAATGTAACCTTTCACTACTCAATATCATACGAGTTGGAGGCACGCAGTAACTCAGAGCTTATAAACAAATGCCATTCGAAAAAAACACAAGGCCACTGTTGAGTGAGCAGCTCACAAATGGGAATATGATCACTTGGTACTAACAGGCGGGCAGGCAGGCAGCACTGTGGGAACAGCTGCTTTTGCAAGCACACCTCAGACAGAATGGCCATTTATTCCAACAGCTGTTGAGTAAGTCAGTTGCGGCTTAAATTTTGACTCACTTCATCTATCAAAATTTGAGGAATTTCAGCTATTTTCTTGAATGGCAAGTAAGGGGGTGGGGAGAAGAAAGAAGAGTATCGCATTAACCCTCAAAGCTACTGGAATCAAAACCTAGCCACGCCCAATTTTTAACTGATTCATGGACTTGAAAGTATCATTACCCAAATGAAATTTTGTATTTAGCCCAACCTTTAAAGATTTAAATATTTCAGAAAAATGGTTAGAAGCCCATCAGCACTTAAACATTTCAGAAAGTCCTGTGGAGTGGAGTCAGTGGAGTCCTGTAGCTCAGTGGTTAGAGCACTTGCCTTGCAAGCAAGAGACCCGAGTTCAATTCCAGGCAGGGCGAAACCTTGGACAAGTTTCCTTACTCCACACGCCTGATAATAATCCCTCCAAAACAAAAACAATAATAAAAATTGGTCATTTTCAATCCATGACTGTTTGTGGGACACTGCTGTGCGCAATTGGCTGCCACGTTTCGCCCAGAAATATACAGTCAATTCACTTTACAGTCTATTCTGTGAAGCGCTTTGAGATGTCGAGAAGACGTGAAAAGCGCTATATCAAATGTAAGGATCATTTATTATTATTAAAAGCATTAGAAGGTTATCTGAATGAAACTGTACACACCACCGTAGGCTAGGGCATAGGTGGCTAGGGCGAGAGAGAGAGAGCTCAGCCCCACAAATCCATTTACAGCTCACCTATTTAAGGCCTTGGGCCATCCTCCTGACATGAAAGGCTCTATACAAATGTAACTTTGTGGTTATTGAATGCCACCCTGAATGCCATGCATCTCTTTGAACAGTGCATGCTTTTTTTGGACTGAAAAGGTAGTTACAAAGGAATCACCGTGGAATGTTGCTAATCTAAAAAGGCATTTCTCAACTGCCTTAAAACAGCAACAAAGTCTATACTTTTACAGCAGAGATTTCCTTAACATGTAGCGTACCTTTCTAACAAAACCTTGGACAAGTTTCCTTACTCTACTCGCCTTGCAAGTGAAAGACCTCAGTTCGATTCCTAGAAGGGCAAAATGTTTGGCAAATTTTCTTATTGCACACACTTCCGTTTACTTAGCAGTAAATAGGAACCCAGTTGTTAGTCGATTAGCGGATTGCTTTTCTGGTGGTAATAATCCCTTTAACACAAATTGGCCACTCAATCCATGACTGTGGGACACTGCTGTGTGCAATTGGCTTCCGTGTTTCAATTTACAGTATATTCTGTGAAGCGCTTTGAGACATCTCAAAGACGTGATAAGGCACTATATCAAATGCAAGGATTATTATTATTATTATTGCTGCTCTGTTTATTTGACACACTTCTCACACAACAAATTAAGTAAACAAAATACATCTAGGTTAAGATTTTAAGATTCATGCTCTGTGGCCCCACTGTTTTTAACCTGAAAACTTACATTTGCACTAAGATTGAGAAAAATGGAATTCGTTCTTCAACTAGCTGTCAAATTAAAGCAATTTCTGTGAAGTCACAATTTTAATATGGTTTAACAAGACTAGGTGCTATGTTTTTCAATGGCTTGGGAGGTTCTCCCGACGTGAAAGCGCTTTACAAATGTAATTTTGTTGTTGTCGTCGGTTCAGATGGACATTAAAGATCTCATGACTTTAGTCAAAAATTAAGAGGAGTTTCTCCCAGTATTCTGGTCGCAGATAAAATTGGTTACTTACTTCACTTTTGTATGCAAATTTACTGCCGTGTTCACCTACAAACAGTCACTACACTTTACAATATAACCTGTAATATCATGAAATGCTTTGAGACATCCTCCAGATGTAAAAGGTGCTATATCAAATGCAAGGATTATTAATAATAGATTAAATTAATAAGTCAGACCACCTCTTCAAAGCCAACAGCAGTGTCATTGGCTGGAGACCCGGTGTACATTCAACTACATTCACAGGAATCTAAAAACACTCTAGGAATCAGGCAACTCTGGCTTAACTACCAGACTTTTCCAAAGCTTCTGACCTCACATCATCAGAGGAGCCAAATATCCAGAGAGGTTTTGTGCTGTAAACTCCAAGATACCTCTCTCAGGAAATCCCCTCATTTACATATTTATAAAGTAGTACTTTGAACAAAGCTCTCTCTCAAGTGTTTGTTTCCCCTTTTCAAATGGGATACTGCTGGAGCAGATGAGGTTTCTCTGCAGTTGCTTTATTTTATCTGGGAGAA